CTATACCATGTGAACTTTCACAATGCTCTAATATACTCGGATGAACTCCTACCCATCTATAATTGTGTAATTTCAATTATGCTCGTGACATGTCATAGCAATAGTTAAACATCTTATCACATAGTCAAGCTCAAGCTTTTTGGATTAGATTACACATGATCATGCTTGGCATCATATCAATTCACCATGCATTCATCATAATGCATACATTCATTTCACATAAATCTCATTATCTTTATAGTCATACATACATATTTATATCATCCAAGTCATCTTCTACAACCAATCACACAAGCTCAATACTTGCAATCAACAATTACTTATAACAATTTAATTTCTAGTTACCTCAACCCTTGGGTTATCACTTCTAAGAGTATAATTTGGATTTTCAAAGGAGTTTCTCACAGTTGCAAGCTCTAAGAACAATCAATCTATAATTTAGGATTAACAAGTATCATTAATAACTAATCATCATTAATTAACATTAATAATAGTTTAGGCATTAAATCTTCATTAAGTGTCATTAACCAACACTAATCCCATTTCTCACTTTCATTAACTTATTTAACCTTTATTGAGTTAAACTAACACTATTGACCCATATCATGAACTTAAACTTGATTACTAGGAATTAGGATTAAATCTTAATTCATCGAATTAGGATTAAATCTTAATTCATCATTAACACTTATAACTATTGTCATTGGCCTAAACCAATGATTTGAAATATAAATAACTCTTATTGGACTACATTGAAGTCATTAGAGTGGTTGCAAGCAAACTCCAAGTTCGGACATTAATTACTCACGCCCAACAATTAGAAGAAAAAACACATAGAGAGGTAGGAGAAAATGAGAGAAAGGTTGCACCGTAATTTGGAACCCCACACTAGCCTCAAATGGATGCCTATACTAAACTCTAGCTGAGCCGTTTTTGTTCTCTCATGCCTACTCTCTAATTTTTCCTTTAGCTTGTGAAACTGATGATATCTCTTGAATTTTAAAATCCGACACATCCTGTATAGTGCTGTCTTTTGTAGTAGATGACACAAGCGAAGAAACCCTACTTAAGCCCATTTAATTGGGTCCAAAGTGACCTAATAGCCTCTAGATTTAAGCCCTATATAAGATCTTTTGGAGTTAATGATCGTCTAACTACTCTAATTAATAATCTAAGCCTCAATTAATTAACTTAACCCATTAATTAATTTAATTAACCTTATTTTAAATGTTGGGATGTTACAAGAAACACATTCCATAATTCAACTAATCCACTAATTAGTAAATCTCATTTTTGACATTACCTTCCCAAGAAAAAGCCCAACTAACTCAATCCTAAGCTTTACTTAGATCAATTTTTAGAGATAATTCTAATCAAAGTCCTTGTTTCCTCTTTAAGTAATGAAAGGTCTTATGAGCAATAACTACATTATCTTAAATATGCCTTCTAGCAATGAATGCCCTTTGTTGTTGAGAAATACAATGATTCAAGAAGTTTCTCATTTAAAAAGTCAGGATCTTGGCAATGATTTTTTAAGAAGCATTGCCAAATCCTATCAAGTGAAAATGGTTAATAGATTCTAGCCTTTCTCTCTGTTTTTTTTAGAATTAACACAATATTTGTTATATTTATCTTCTTCAAATCAAAATGCGCTTTAAAAAACCACTACACTATACCATAAACTTTCATTCTCACCTCCTCCTAAGTAGATTGGTAGAAAAGAGCCGTATAACCATCTGGCCTAGGGGCTTTTATTGCTCCAATATCAAACATAGATCACTTAATCTCCCCTATAACAACAAGCCATGTTAATTGAGCATTATCCTCCATAGTAACAATAGGTCTACTTCAATGCTTCACCAATCTGATCAAGAACTTTTGCAACAAACAAATCAATATAAAATTTGCCAAAAATATCATTAATATCTTCCTCCTTTTCCAACTAAACACCATTCTCATCTTTCAGCTTGATAATCTTATTCCTTAATCTTCTTTGAATAACTTTGTAATAGACAAATCTCATGTTCTTATCTCCACATTGAATCTACTTGAGGCAAAACTTCTGCCACTAAAACATTTATTCTCTATCCTGAGCCTCCTTCATTTTATTAATGAGATCTTTAGATGCAAGAAGTTTCAAAAATAGCTAGCCCTTTCTAACAATTAGCAAGCTTCCCCTGCAACTCCTCAATCAATTTCTTATTATTAGGAAATACCTCCTTACTCTACTTCAATAATTCCTTCATGCCAGCAAGCAATTTCCTCACAAGAACATCAATTTTATTCATATCTCCAAAAAACCTAACACTCTTCCGCCCATAATATGCAAAAAATGAACATGTTTAACACAAAGAGCACTAAATTTAAAGGATTTTTCTAACTATACAATTTTAAAAACAATAATCAAATTGTGATAAGAACTAACAAGCTTGGTATGAATTACAATAGCCCTACTAAATTCCTCCCAAAACTCCATTTCCCTATCCTCTGTGAACCCTTTCCTTGACAATAGCCGTCCCATGTCTATTATTACTCCACGAGTATCTAGGCCATTTGAATTCAAGATCCATCAAGCCACAATCAAAAAGTAAGTTCTAGAATTCAATAATACTACCTATCAAAAACAAAACAATGCCCTCTTTATCATGTCGTGAACTCAACTCATTAAAATCTCCCACACAACCAGGAGCCATCAAACTTGTTGCTAAAGATCTCCATCTATTCCAAACCAAACCAGTATCATATTCAATAAGAGTACTATAGAAAAATGTAATAAAATTAGGAGTAGAATTAGTTGTAGAAGACAACTTATAGTATATTAAATTCTTGGACTAAAAGAGAATGTCTAGAGTCATATCCTCCCTCCACCACACTACCAAGCCACCAAACCTCCCTACTAGATCCACATACGCTTCCTTCTCCATCCCACAGCTTCTTATCCTTTTCAACTTAGTACCATCAAAAAGGTAATTGGTATTGTATATTTCTTATTGCAATCCTTAAGATTTAGTAGTTGTTAAAAGCTAGTTGCCTCACCTTCAACCAAAAAAACACCTTGACTCCTCCCCCTTTCGAAACCCAACTTCTACAACTCAACCACTTGATCAACAATAGCCACAAAACTTTTAGTGTGTTTTGAAGTACCTATACTCCTCTTCCTTGTTCTCTTTTGACCAACACCACCTTTTAGGTGGAGCCTTCTTTATCTTCAATCTTTCCTTTCTCAAATGATTAGTAAAAGCTAATAAGATTGTTTCATATTAATGTCTCCTCTTACCTACTTTCTAGTAAAGGTCCTCCCCATTATGCTTCATGTTCAATCTCATCAAATTTTCTTCAATTTTCTGGATTCCTTTTTTTCATGTATAGACTACTAAAAGTCCTCATACCAGAATCATACCTAATCCCACTTAGTTTTCCCTACTCTAGTACCTCAGAAGAGATAACCTCTTCAATTTGAATCCCCTTCAAGTTCTCACTACTTCCAATAAGGCCCTCATCCAAGACTCCAACCCTATCCTCATTAGTAGACTTAAAGGAATTGTAGCACAAAGCTTCACTCTCAACTCTAGTTTTCAGTGAATCTAAATGCCTTGGGCTCTCTTGGTGAACATAAGAGCATTCACCAATGGGCCGATTCAACCTATCCTTGCTTCTCATCCTAATATCAACTACCTCCTTAAGCACCTCAAACAATCACCTCTTGAGGGGCTACGTCCTCCTTCACACAATTATCTCTGTTAAAATCAACTAGAATCTTCTTTCCCTTCCTTGAAACAGGATTATTCTCCAACTTTGAGGCCCTCTTATCACCAATACTCAAGAGGTGTTAAGAGCCCATCCCTTTAGCAACAATTAATACTTCTAGCCTATCCCTTTCCTACTTCATAGAAAGCCATAGACCAAACCTTGGCACTTGAGAATTAAAACTCATTATCTGTCATTTAACATTACATAGACAAGGTTTATGCCCAATGACCACATTTGAAACAATAATTAATCAATTTTTCATACTTCACATCAATTCACACCTTACTATAACCAAGTCTCTGAATCCAAAAACTAAAAACCAAAGGCCATACTAGATCCACTAGAACTCAAACTCTTAAGAAGCATCTTAGCATTTTGCCATTCCATAATGGATCCTCAACTAGAACTACCTCACCAACTCTACTACCCAACATTACAGCATTTTTCACATGCATTAAACAAGGAGGAACTTGATGAACCTAAAAAAAGCATCAACCAAAATCAATCTCCTCAAAAACCGTGCTCTATTGCGATTCTTGAAGATTAATCAATTGTCCAATAATCGACCAAGGCCACCTGCACAAAATCCTTTTATACTCATCTTTAGAATTAAGTTTGCACGTGAAAGCATTTTTCCTCACTTCGATAACATCCAAGACTTCTTTCAAGTTCCAGGCCTTTTGAATCATTATGATTACCATAGCCCAGTTTAGATTTTTATCCATAATCAATTTTCCTACCAAAACCACCTTCGACTCATCGATCACTCCTTCATACTCACTATTCCACACCAACGATTTAGAAACAAAATCTTCATCTCCATCTTCCTCACCAACCTTCCTCCGATTGCCATCTCTCTTCGCCATCATACTTTCTCACTATCAATTAAACAAAACGAGTCAATCTCCCACACAGAGTGACTCTCGTAGCTCCCACACTCCCAGAGCAGAGAGAGTCTAACCTATTTTTCATTGAGTTAAATAAATACTTTTTCTGCTCACTAAAAGTAAATAAATTTTCTTTTATTTTTAATAATTCTTTTTTTTTTAACTTCTTTTGCCCGATCTTTTTATCCAATCCAGTACCCCTCATGTTTGTTATTAATAAAACTTATTTCTGTCTACGTTCACAATAATTAAGAACATTAGGGACATCCAAGTTTAGAGTACTTTCAACCTCAAAACCCTCTTCCTCACGGTTTTCATCCGTTACCTTCCCAAAAATAAGGATCTATTCCTCTCTCTCTCTCTCTCTCTCTCTCTCTCTCTCTCTCTCTCTCTGAATTTCATTGATTCCTCGTCATTTCTCGTTTGCTCTCTTTATCATTGGCGACATCATGGTACGTTCTTTCTTCATCATAGATCTCTATATTTTCAGTAATTTTGATTCACCACTTTCAATGGATAAGAAGAAATTCTGGGGAAGAAAAAAATTCCTACTCATGGAAATGGCAGGTACATAAATTAATTGGAAATGTAACTACCAGACGATTTACTGCATTGTATTTAATTTCTTTCCATTAGAAAAGACATTCGGATAATGTTCTTCTTCAGCCTAGTTTTTTAGAAGGATTGATTTCTAAACATATTTGATAAAAAAATTCATCACCTTGCCTTTTAATTTCCAAAAATTCCCAAGTTGATATAATTATTAAAATATAGTATTTAAACTAAACTTATTATGCCAATGAAGATTCCATCTTGTAGGAGAAATTTGATATGCTTTAAGCAATATCTCAAGACTTGAATCTTGTGATAATAGACAAAGATACTGTATTGAGAAAACTTTATCTTTCATTTGGAGATTAGTCATACATGATTAAGTACCGAATATAAGATGATTAAGAAGAAGCCCTTGTTATATATCTTGTACTAAAGTGACTATTTGGTACATATGTTGGGAGAATGACAATAAAGTCCCAAAATAGAGAATTTATGACAATTAAGTTCTCCGCATAATCTTCTTAAAAATAAGTTGCAAAAATTGATTTAAGCAGTTGTAAACAAAAATCTCAATTTTTTTAAATATTTTATTTACAATTAAAACTCTTGAATTTGTAACTATCTGAATCACACTTACAAGGGAAAATTGCATCTAAGGACCCATGAAGATTATTATTCACAAGCAAGGATCAATAATAAGTTATCATTCGAGAAAAAATAAGTTCATGTTTTCATTTTAATAACAATTCATTCCATATGGATTCTTGTTTCACAAATAATATTCTTCAAAAGTCCTTGGATGCGATTTTTCCTATTTACAACTGATTTTAACAAAAAATTTATAGAGACTTAACTGTCATAAATTTATTGTTTTAGGACTTTAATGTCATTCTCCTTGTATGTTTTTGGTTCCTCAAAATACTTGTACTCAGATGCATTCATCACCTTGTTATATAATTGTTTCTTTATTCCAAAATTGTGAGGCAAACACAGCACATAAGTACCTAGTTGGGATTAATATTCAAATAAGCCTCTTAGGCTTAGATTTTGGGCCTAATTTATCAAAGGTGAATAACCCAATAGTTTGGTTCTTCAAAATCCTCGCACTCACTTGCATTCGTCAACTTGTTATATATTTGTTTCTTTTCCAAAATTGCTAGGTGAATGCAGTAACGGGAATGAACGTGCATGATGAGTGTAAACTCAAGTTCTTAGAACTAACTGTCATAAATTCATTGTGTTGGGACTGTAATGTCATTCTCTCTATATGTTTGGTTCTTCAGAATCCTTGCACTCACATTCATCATCTTAAATCTTTATTCCAAAATTGCTAGGCGAACGCAGCATCAGGAATGAATGTGCATGATGAGTGTAAACTCAAGTTCTTGGAACTAAAGGCGAAGAGAAACTATCGTTTCATTGTATTTAAGATTGAGAATCAAGAAGTGGTTGTGGATAAACTTGGAGGCCCCACACAAACCTATGAGGACTTCACTGCTTCTCTTCCACCTACTGAGTGTCGATACGCTGTCTTTGATTTTGATTTCACTACGGATGAGAATTGCCAGAAAAGCAAGATTTTCTTCATTGCGTGGTATGTTTATTAACCTTAATTCCTCTATACTTATATTGTCTTAGACCCAATAAATGACTATTTATTGCTATATTAATTTATGGGTTTAGTTTGTCACTCGTGTTGTCCTACTCAAATTGATCCCTTAGGGTCTAATGTGTCTTCCGAGTAATTGATAGCTTAGCTTGAACTAATATATTCTCTCCGTTTTCTAATATAAAAGAAATTACTAGGTGTCTTTTTGTTTTCGTTTATAAGAAAAATTATAAATTTCAAAAACATTTATCACATTTTCTCAAATTGTCCCTCCTAAAGTCAATGTTTATTTTCACTACACAAATTTGTTTCATTGATTATAGGGATAATCTAGTCCAATTTTTTTAATTTCAAACATAATTATTACACTTAATTGATTTTTTTAAACTATATGAATTAATTATTTTTTCTTATATTTTACAACGGAGAAAATATAATATCTCTTTCTCTATTATAAGACATTTTCAACCACTTCATCATAATCAAGGAATGACAATTAACTCATTAAATATGTTTTATAATATTTTTTTCAACTTTACCTATATTAATTAATAATAGAAAGAGAGAGATACATAATATACGATGAGCCATATAATTAAATTTATAATAGGAGTAAAATTAAAAAATGATAATAAATAATTCTCAATATTCAAGGGGAAAAATCCTTCTAGAAGGTGCTCTATATTAAAACCTGAGAATACACACACAAATGTATATATATGGGTTTAATTGACTTTCGTCTTACATGCATATAGGGCCCCTGATGCATCCAAAGTAAGGCAAAAAATGGTGTATGCAAGTTCAAAGGACAGATTCAAGAGGGAACTTTATGGCATTCAGGTTGAATTGCAAGCTACGGATCCTAGTGAAATGAGTTTGGATATCGTCAAAGCTAGGGCAATTTAGTAGTATTTCTCATATTAGTTATATTATTCATGTTTCAATCTTAATTATTTCCCAAAACAACTGTTTTTCATTTAATTTCTTTATTGTTGAATGGTCAATATTTTATATAGTTTGTAGCTTAATGTATTTCTACTAAACAATGTTTCATGCATTTGCGAGTTTTTTCCTTGGATTCTTGATTGCATACAAAATATTCTGCAGTGAAACATGCAAGTGGATTTCCCATCGTCCCCCTTTTATGGGCGGAAAAAGAAACATTTCGCATTTTTAATTTTTTTTTAGTATTATACACATGTCACATACTTTAACCTCCCAAAAATTTATAAAAGCTTTATTGCATATACATATTTTTTAATATCAGCTCCCTTTGTTATTAAATCTTAGCTCCACCCCTTAATTCACCTTTATTTTCAGCTTGTATGTAAATAGAGTATTTTCTTGGATGACATTTTTATGAAATGCAAGAAAAGAATCAAGGTCCTTAACGGACATTTTAAAGCTTTGGATCTTGAAGTATCATTATTTTTCTATCATTTAGACCCAAAATTACTTAGCTTGTTGGGGGAAAAATTGATACACTCCCTTTTTCAAGTTGTATTTATAAATCACATCCAAGATATTTTATCAAAACTCAAAAAAATATTTAACATTATCAACTGTCTTAAATTTAATAAGTTTCCACTCGACCTATAATAAGGAAAAAAAAAATCGTTTTTGCTAACCTTTCCTAGCATTTAATAAGAACAGAGAGGCAAAAAATATAGATATGGCCTTATGGAAGAAACTAATTAACTTTTTATTAAATTTTAGTAGAACATAACTAATCATTTTATTCATATAACATTCTTGATTTACATAAACTATTTGATTTTAATTATCTAACTAAAACTAATATTAATTACTTAGCCAAATCACATATTAGTACCACTACTATTAATACATCGCTCATAAGTAAGGACATTCTATATCGGTTGTGGGGGATTTTTATGTCGGCTGCTAACAGGTCACAAACAAGAGCGTAGTGGCATGTCTCTGGTATTTTCTGGCCTATAACAGTATGTCTCTGGTATTCATGCATGCTTCTTAACCGACGTAAAATACTTGATCTATGTTGGTTTCCATTGCATGGTGTTCACATCCTTTCAGAGTCACCAGGAAACAGCTACTGGAAACTATGGTCCTTTTTTTTTTCTTTGCCAGAGTTTTAAAGCGTAGTAAGCCATGGATGATGGATCCTAACCGTAGCAGTACGTAGTACAGGTCGTAAAATCATAGACAAACTTGTTCTTGGGAATGGACACACACTGATTGGGAATTTTATAAATGCTTCTAACTCAAATGGGTCAGTTTCCTATAGCTAAGGTTAATGGTGAACTCCCGAGGAAGATGTGGATAGTGGGAATGACATACAGATGGCAGGAGGTAGTGATCGGAGATGAAGGAGGTGGTGACCGGAGATGGATGAGGGTGAAAGGAGAAACGACTGGAGACATAGGAAGAAGCCGAGCGAGAAGATTGGTTTGACAATGGAGGGCATTGTGGTCTGTAAAATTTCATTGCCGTGAGTAAAATTTCAGTACCACCTCTCCGCTAGGGTTTTACCAATGCCATGTATGTGGGCTTTACCACTCCCAAGTTTTAAGCAATCCATCTTACCAAACATCTTAATATATATAGGCTTTATCCGTCCCAATTCCTCATACCAAACAAGGCATAAGGTGAAATGGTTTTCCTGCAACTTGTACTTGAAGAGTAAACTCTTAACATCTGTATAGACGTTTATACTGGAGAGGAAGGCTCGTGCAGAAACATACATGAGCCCACATTTAAAAAAAAAAAAACTGCAATTATTACATTTCAGGACCTTCAAAATTCGGAATATCAAAACGAAGATAGAGTAGTACTGCACAACAAAACTTACCTACTTTTGGTCCGGATACAACACAACTTTTCTACTTTCTCCAAAATCAAGAAGGACCAAATATTGGGCTCACGAACGGAGCAAGATATGGTTGGATGCTGTTCTGCAGGAGGCCTCAAGAAAGGCAATGGATGCATTGAAATAATATCAGTAGCTAATAAACGTGCAAATGAAAATGGAAACAAAACAAATAAAGCCAAAATGAAAAAAGAAAAAAGAAAAAGAAAGAAGCAAGAAAGAAAGAAGAACAAGAAATAATCAGTTCTTTCATGTACTTGTCAAGAGTGGTGAATAGGTTGGCCGAATAGCAGGAGCTGGCACAATAGCAGGAGCTGGGACATAACAGGAGCTGGCACAATAGGAGGAGTTGGCACATTAGCAGGAGTCACCTATAATGCAATTTATAAGATAAAGATCAGTCTTAGGAAATCAGAAATGCGGTTATGAAACGACTAATGAATCAAACGGTACAAATTTTTAAAGAGCCACCAAAAACACCTCACGGCATTTCTTCTTTACAAAATCATCCACCATGATTATGCCTTTAGCACATTTTGCTCCTGCATTGCCAATGAAACAATTTTGAATTTAAAAAAATAAAAAAAGAAAATAAATATGGAATTGAAAGTGAACCACACATAATATATTAAATGTCCGAGGAAGACATGTCAACAAAGGAAGCACTGTTAGAGAAGAAACAAAATGAGAATTGTCACAATTTCCAAAATAACGTAACAACTAATATTATATTATTTTAAATTAACCAAAGAAAAATTATTAGAGAGGAAAGATGTTAAGAACTAAAGAAAGCAAATAAATCTATTAAATAAATTAGAGTAAGAATCTCACTCTAAAAATATTAGTGGATATTGACGTTGACGCAGCATGCTATCAAGAGAATGAACCGCAAAAGAAAATTTAGCACAAATTTGTTCAAATCAATCACACATCTTTACATAGATCCATCCTTATTTATGTTGATAGGGACACAATTAGGATTTCCTAACAGAACTAACAAATTACCAACTATGAATTCTAATCATCCAACCACGTAAAAGCTTCTTGTTGCTTATTTAAGCCCAGCACATTCTCCAACAGCTATGCAAACTTAAGGTTCTGAAAGGGAACTCATATCGGCATTATTGGCAGTCAACAAATGGAGGAACTATTTAACCAGCCACAATTCACCAATATAACAAATCAAAAAGTATTAAAATATTTGTTGAAGACGCACAAGTTCTGAATGTAGGGCAGCAAAAGTAAGTTCCTAACTTGAAGCCTAGTAAGAAGAATAGTGTTGCGGAAGCACTATAAAGAAAAGAAGAAATAATGTATGTTCACAGGTTATTCAATTTGTCAGTGCAGTTAATTGGATTGTTAAGAAAATGAAATTCAATCAGACGCTAAATTGTCCAACATTATTCATCAAGTTGATTATCAATCAGCCCACCCAAGAAGAATACAGCAATTGAAAGGTATGCATTCTATATAAAATTTATCTTACCCAAGAGATCCGCAAGGATTCCCTATTCCTACAATGATTCTATTCTTCCCCATAGGCCTGGTATTTTGACACTGACAGTGATGAGATATAAGAACTAATATATTTTGCAGAAACCTAGGCTAGTAGATTATTATTATTGTATTTTCTTTAGCTCGTAAGAAACCCATCTTGTTTGTAGCTTCCTTTGGTGTTAGTTTAATATTTTGTTAGAAGGGAAATCTGAACATTAGCTTTATATAAACAAGTGATTAAGATTTCCTCAATAGGTAGGGACGTTAGTTTAAATAGACTAGCTTGCATTTGTAAGAGAAGGCTTTTGATGAATGTAATATTTGATTGCGATTTCTGATAGCTCATCTCCCTCTGCGTCTGCCGCTCCCTCTCTTGCTCCCCCACTGTTCTGTTCTTCATTCTTATTTCTCCCTCTCTGTTCTCGCCTCCTCTCTCTCATTCTCTTTATTTCTGATTTTCTCTACTCTCTTCCTCTATTCAGCCCTGTGCAAGTGTGTGTGAGCGTGTGTTACATCAGTATGACTAAATTGGCTCATATAAAAGGTATGACATGTGGTCTCTTGAATGTTATGTCTCAGTGGGAGGTGCCAAAGAAAAAGTATAAAGCACTTAGCCCTATAGGTTGACCGCAGCCACTTCTAATCCCACAACGATGTGAAAGGAGTCAAATGAATTTTATCACCAATTTCCGCAGATCTCAATATTACATGACTTGTGATGGGACAACCATAATCGTACTGAATGAGGAACAGGGGAAGACAAAAAGGAGAGACGGGTAGACAGCCTTAATCATGATTGGAGGGGAGCTAATAGAAAATGTGGGGAACCTAAATGGAGAAATGGTCAAAATGAAGGAGACAGTGAAGGTAGCAGAAGAAACATTGGCCAGACAAGCGGGAAGCAATAGGGACATGCAAACTGTAACCATTGAACAGGCAAACAATAAAAGACAGGAAAATCTACAACTAGGAAGGCCAATGGGAAGCAGCAAATCAAGTGAGGGGACAGCAAAAGGTTCAGGAAATTGAACTTACCTTTGCTTCCAGATGAAGATCCAACAGGGTAGTTGTTCATGGTAGAAAGCTACTTTAATATGTGAATTTGATGAGGAAATCCCAAAGCTGCCAGTGTATCAAAAAGTTTATGCCTTGAGTTGGCTTCAGTAAAGGGACCCGTGAACATATCTAGTCAGACTTCAAGGAAGAGCTTCGCCATTTCATCACTCTCAAGTCTCAACTAAGGAATGGATGCAAGATACTAAAGGCCCAGAAGCAAGGGAGGATGAGGATAATGAATTTATGTCTGGGTTGAACTATTATTGGCTCGCTTCCTCTGGAAATGATCTCATGGGAGCCTTGAAAAATGGAATCAAGGAAGACATCAGGCTGACATTTCACATGATGTGCACAAAATTTTTCCTTGATGAGTTGTTGGCATGTTATGTAGGGATAATTTGGAATGACAACGATTAGAGGAGAATAGAGGGATACGAGAGAAGAACAGGGGAGATAGAAGAGGCAGAGAGAAACTGAGAGAGAGTTAGGAAGAAGGAGAGATTGGGAGAAATTGAGCAACACAGGTAAATTCTGGATATTACGCTTTAATGATTACAAGGGATAAGATTACAAGTCGAATGCCTTAGTATCTATAGGCTTTAATACCCATACACTCCCCAATGGCTATATCCTAACTAACTATTATTTAAATCAAACATATACAATTAACTAATAATATTATAACTACCATGTCATAATTATAAGACTATAACATGGTGCTTGCTCATTATGCAGAAAAAAGGAAAAAAGTGGTGGGGAAATCAGGAGAGAACAACGTCAACAGGGGTTTTGACATCCCTACTTGTGGGAAATTTTTCAGCCAAATCTCTCACAAGCAAGGCATAGACCCGACCCAACCAACTACTACCACTACAACACAAAGAGAACCCTCAGAAACATCAATACAGCTTCCTTTATTTAGCACGATGGATATTATTGTGGTTGTTTGATGCTAAGACTGCCAAAAGAAGAGAGCTAGTATTGTGCTTCAAGTGTGACAAGAAGTGTGGGCACAACTGCAAATACAAAAGCAAGTAGTAACAAATGATGATATTGACAATGGAACCACACAAAACTTCCTCTCTCCTGTTGACAAAAAACCAAGTCCTAGTTTTATTGGCAATTCAAGGTCCAAGAACAGGTCAAAGTGCTGGCATATCATGTGGGAAAAATGCCATCCCTCTAAAACAAGTTCCAGAAAGGTTAGAGTCCAGTAAAGTGTACTCTGTCACCCCTCCTGCACTCTAATCATTTTCAACAGGATAGGACTTTAGCACGATTATTCAAAATCAGTACTAATCTAGCAAAGCATAAATACATTAAAAACTATTATTAGTTCACAACATTTGCCAACATTCTTAAGGATGAATTATGTTGAAGAATTTAAGAACAGCCTACATAGCAAATTGTAATCCCATCTACAGCTCTCACAACTGAAAACTCAGTTCAAAAACAATCAGTCATAAAATTTTGACAATTTTCACACAATAACACAAGAATGTGATGAAGTTTTCACATTACTGGGAAAATGCAAACAAAACATATAAGCTTAAACTTTCAATATACCTGGAGCCATTGGACATCTTCCAAGTGTATGCCCATTTGCACAACAAAAAAAGCAAATTTCCAGATTATTATTGAGATATCTCCGCCTTCTACATTGCTGATCCCTTTGACAAATTTGTCTACACTCCAAACATCTCTAGAAAGATCAAGTCACAATTTAGGAACAGAAGGCTAATTCTACTTGTATCAATCTTAAAGAACAAAAGTTAGTTCTTTCGGCAAGATTAAGGAATTCTAGCTACTCCAAGGCAAGCAACCTAAAATTCATCAATGACTGAAAATAAATACACGGATATTCTTGTATTTTACATACCTCATAACGTTCATAGTCTTTCAAGGGCCCTTTTGGGACCCAGGGTCCAGGCGCTATCCCTTCATTACTGAGTATGCCGGCTCCCGTTCCAGATCTTAAGTTGTAGTTGTGGGTCACCCTTGACCCAACAGAAGAGTCATGGGTTTTATTCATCACCTGTCCCTTTCGCTCTCCCTGATTTCGTTCTTCTAGTGTTATTGGCTTTGCTTCAAGACATTGTTGAGCGTGTTCATCATTGGGTCTATTTGATTTGACCCCTTCACCCTCGAGCTCACCCTTATTTTTCTTCTTCTTCTTCTGCCTCCTCCTCTTCTTTTTCTGTTCCACTTCTTTCGGTGGTGCTGGCTCTGTTTCCGGCAGCAATATAGGGCCTGAGTCTTTGGAGGGTAATGGATCTGACTTAGGACATAATTGAAGGTTCTCAGAACCCATGTGGTTTATTTCTGCCCCTTCAAATTTAGGGGGTTGAATCTGATCCAGTGCAAAGTTGATTGGCTTCGTTCTTTTCTCCGACTGGGGCTGGCTCAGGAAGCAAGAGAGGGTCTGGGTCTTTGGGAGGTAATGCGGCCAAATTAGGGCACAGCTCACGGTGCTCGGAATTCACGTGGTTTGTTTCCACCCCTTCACTCTTGGACAAGCTTTTCCTCTTCCTTTTCCTCTCCATCTTTCTTGAGGGTGTTGAGTCTGGTTCAATGAAAAGTTGATTGGTTTCGTTCTTTTCAGCAAATGGCTCTCGTTCAGGTAGCAGTACAGGCTCCGAGTCTTTGGGGGGTAACAGGTCCAAATTAGGGCATAACTCAGGGTGCCCGGAATCCCCGTGATTTGTTTCATCAGCCCCTTCACTCTTGGACAGGCTCTTCCTCTTCCTCTTTTTCTTCCTCTTCCTCGGGGTTGTTGACTCTGGTGCAGTGCAAAGTTGATTAGTTTCGCTCTTTTCTGCAACTGGCTCTCGTTCAGGTAGCAGTACAGGCTCCGAGTCTTTTGGGGGGAACGGGTCCAAATTAGGGCATAGCTCAGGGTACCCAGAATCCCCGTGATTTGTTTCAGCCCCTTCACTCTTGGAGAAGCTCTTCCTCTTCCTCTTCTTCTTCCTCTTCCTTGGGGTTGTTGACTCTGGTTCAGTGCAAAGTTGATTAGTTTCGTTCTTTCCTGCAACTGGCTTGGGTTCTGGTTCAGGTAGCCGCATAGAGTCTGAGTCTTTTGGGGCTAATGTGTCCAAATTAGGGCTTAACTCACGGTGCTCGGAATGCAAGTGGTTTGTTTCCGCTCCTTTACTCGCGGACAAGCTTTTCCTCTTCCTCCTACTCTTCTTCTTCCTTGTTGACTCTGGTTCAATGGAAAATTCATTGGTTTCGTTCTTTACAACAACTGGCTCTCGTTCAGGCAGCAGTAGAGATTCTGAGTCTTTTGGGCGTAATGGGTCTGATTTAGGGCAAAACTCATGGTGCTCAGAATCCACGCCGTTCACGCTTTTCCTTGCCGTCGCCTCTGAGAGTTCTGCTTGTGCCTCTTGGTGATTAGGAAACTGGTCAAGAAGTTCCTTCCTCGCTCTTTTTCGGCTCATCTTGCAGTTCCCAAAGGCGATCGATAGAGACTCTGCTCTGATAAAGCGAAACCCTCTGGGCGGCGGCTAAGGGAGGTCTAACCGGGGGGGGGGGGGGGGGGAGCCCAAAAAAAAAAATACAATGAATTGATTTCCGCTAATATGGCCCAAAAAAAACAAAAAGATTTTCGCCAATTTTTACTATTGAAGAAAGAGATAACGCCATGCTAAGATAGACTACAGTAAGTCCAGTGTTTGCGCATCATGGAAGATGAACGTGGAGTAAAATTATTTTTAAAACTTTTCAGTGAAAATAAAGAAACTGATATGTTAAACTTACAAAAATTGATTTTAATACACGTTTAATTAAAAGAGCTAAGATATTATAATCATGAATTCTTCTTTATTGGAAAAGAAATAATATCATCAATGGTTAAAGTATTAGTAACCTTGTTAAATAATAGTTTCAGTATGCTGTATCAAATGGAAACTACAATTTAAAAAGGTGTGTTTGAAACTGTTCAAGAAATTTGTTTATTGAAGCTTTGAAACTAATAAGTTATGGGGAAATGGCATTAAAGGCTTTAAAAACAGAGCTTATTGCACTTAGGGTTTAAATCATTCTGAAATTATTCTATAGGCCTTAGGGCGCTAACGGCAATATTTTTTCAGAGCAAAAATACTATTTTGTCTTTAATAGAAAAAAAATGAAATTAAATGCAGAAGGAGGATGACAAACGCGGGAATGATTTCAAAATTTAGCAGATGGTTCACGAGATGGAGGTATTACCAGCTAAAGTTATTCAACAATGCTTCTGACGATTTCAAGATCTCAGCTGGAGGTTTTCAAGTTTCTCATATTCTTACTGTAGAAATGAGCTGAAATTTTTATTGTTCTTGCTGAAAAAATGAGCAGCATCAGTTTTGCTATAGAAATAATTTAAGGTTTGTCATTGCTGCATATTAGTTGCTGATGAAGTGATAACAGATGTGATAGTCACGCATTCAATATGTAGCAATTCATTTAATTGAATCATTTAATGGGTTTTTACATGAGGCAATAGGGTGCATATGAGATGGACTTTTCGTTATACAAACTGCAATGTGATGTTGTTGAAATTGAAATTTTATTTATGATTCTACTGCTGACATGAGGTAAAGGTTGTTGAACTATTTTGGCTACGAAAGTTTTAAAATGGATTAGTTGTTGTACAATAATGATAGTTGACTTGTTTATATTGGACTTTTACATGTGAACTGAATAAAACATGATCCAATATGAAGAAAATCTTCTATCAAAAATGTTAGAGTATTTGTTGTGCAAAAATGAACTTTGAGTTATTTTTGTTGAACGTTGAATTGTGCATTATGCTAAGCCTAACTTAATGATAAATTGAAATTACATGACTTTTAGGTGAAAATATAAGAACTTTGTATTGTGCGTAGCGGATATTATATTGTGCCATATTTGTCTAACTTGAGCATTCCTTTTGTTAAGCCTAGCCTAATGATAAATTGGAATGACATGAACTTTCAGGTGAAAATATATTAACCTTGTGTTGTGTATAGTGGATATTGTGTTGTACATTGTTTGCCAACAAACAAGGAGGATAGAGTCTCAATTCCAAGATAAGAAGATTTATCATTGTTCAAGATGTAGGAAGGCCAGATATAGTCGCAAGACATGCAAGAATCCTAACCCAGCATGAGAAGTAGTCACATTATACTTCTTTGGTGTACATAGGCAACGATAATTATGTATATGGAAGTATTCCCAAGTAATATTGTTTAGGTAATTGGGAATGACAGATATTTTTTGTTTGTATATAAAGAAGCAACTGTTAGATATTTTGGATATAGTGGCTAACTTTTTGTATATATCAAACTTGAAATATTGAAATATCATGTCAAATTTCATTTGGGTACTTGTTTTAGTACCTAAGCTAGTACCAACATAAAATCTTTATATTTGATGTAATTGTCCTTCTTAATATTGAAAATTCGTGAACTTTCTATTGAGCATGCATGAATATCGTCTTGTGCATAGTGGATATTATGTTGTGTATGGTTTGCCTAACTTGTTATTTCTATTGAACAAGGTTAGTAAAATACTCCAAATACATGGACTTTTTATTGTGCATGTGTGGACATCATCTTATGCATAATAGATGTTATGTCATGCATGGTCTACCTAACTTGTCATTTCAATTAAACCCAAGGCTAGTGAAATACTTGAAATGCATGGACTTTCTATTGTGCATGCGTAGACATCATCTTATGCATAGAGGATGTTGTGTCATGCATGGTCTGCCTAACTTGTCATTTCAATTGAACCCAAGGCTGATGAAATACTCAAAATGCATGAACTTTTTTATTGTATATGCATGGATATCGTCTTGGGCATAAATGATGTTGTGTCGTGCATGGTCTGCCTGACTTGTCATTTCAGTTGAACCCAAGGCTAATGAAATACTCAAAATGCATGGACTTTTTGTTGTGCATGCCTGGACATTGTCTTGTCCATAGTGGATGTTATGTCTTGCATGATCTACCTAACTTGTTATTTCAGTTGAACCTAAGGCTAGTGAAATACTCGAAATGCATGGACGTTCTGTTGTGCATACGTGGACATCGTCTTATGCATAGTGGATGTTGTATCATGCATGGTCTACTTAACTTGTCATTTCAGTTGAACCCAAGGCTAGTGAAACACTCAAAAAAGGCTAGTGAATTATTCAAAATGCATGGACTTTCTATTGTGCACGCGTGAACATCGTCTTGTGTATAGTGGATATTATCTTGTACATAATGGAAAGGCTAAGACTTGTAGATTTCATTTCCTTTTCATTCAAATATATACATAATTCCAATTACAAACAAAAAATAATTCCAAATTACAAAAAAAAATTAAAATATGTACATAATTCAAGTAAGAGAACCTAATTCCACAATCCTATAATTTTTCTTTCCATACTTCAGGTACAGCCTAATTCCATTCTATATGGCTCCCTCTCCTCTATGCTTATTTCTTTCCATACTTCAGTTGCAGCCTTATTTGAATCACCTACTTTATTGTATTTGCTTTTATTAATCTCCAAAAATTCTCTTCTAAAATCATGCCATCCCATAGTTAATGTTGGCTTTTATGATTTGTTGAAAGCCATTTTATACTATGCACCTGCACAAATTGACTATGATTACTAGAAGAGAAAATGATCAAGGATAGCAAAGCACAGCATGCATTAATATATTGTCTATTCATATAATTATGCTAAAAGCTTACAAATATTTATGTAGTTAGTTACTTGTCGGCTTGGAAGAAGAGGAAATGGATATAAAAAAGTGAAAGGTTGCCTCTCTTACAAAGGTTTATTCTCTCTCTCTCTAGGTATTTTAATATTTTCTCTACTCCCAAGAAAACCCTGGCCTAAGGAATCCTGCAGGCTTCATGTAAATGTAATTAAGCCTTGATACTTGCAACATGCTATCCTCTCAATGATTGTGCCAACAAATAATTGTGGACTAAATTCACTCTATATTTCTTCTAAACTTTGAGTTATGTGTGTGTATTGATTTTTTTACAATCAAAACTTAGAAACAAGCTGCTCAACTTATACATTTCTGCATATAAATTATGCAGACTGCAGAGAAGAGTTATCTCTCAGCTCTACATCATGCAGAGCTTGTAGAGAGGTGGTGGGGCAGCAATACTCACATCACAATTATATTTAGAATTAAGTAGCACTCGTTAATTTTCTTATATTGCAGATAAAATTATCACACTGCTCGGTGACTGATATGGAGCTCTTAGCTCTCACTAGCATGAGTTACTTGAATTAAATATCCATTTATCACTTGGAGAGGTTAACTTCAAATGGCCTAGTAGCTT